CCTGTGTATTTCTTGTAACCGTTTAATCCTGGTATTAAAGTTAGGATAAACAGGGCATTGGTAGGTGGCATGTCCTTGACTACAAAACAGACACCTTCTCTCTCTGGTTGACTTGGTCTCTTTAGCAGACAAGTCATTGGTTACATCAGAAGGAGATACTGAATAAGTACCTACATTACCACTCCTCTTTCCAGTGGATGGAGCAGTCCTAGGTTTATATTTATTAGACTTATTTAAAGTCGGTTTGGGTTTGACTGAAGTGTCAATATTAGGTGGTTTAGACTCAGGTTTAATCTTATCATGGGTCTTCAACCTGTTAACCGTTATCCTCAGTCCCTCGAATATTTGGTCAAGAGTGAGAAACTCGGTTTTATAGTGTGAGCAGATTTCTGCTAAGATATTTCGAGGTAATTTCCTCTGCAAAAGTAACTTGATTGACCATTCTGAGGCTGGTATATCAACTTTAGTACCTAAGGCCTTCACTAGGGACTCTACTTCTAGCCTGAAGCTTTGAAGTGAGTCTGGTCTGTTACTTGGTGCATTCAGATCTAGCAACTGGTAATAAAGGTTAGCTATACTCAACTCCTTGTTGCAATAGTTCAACTTTAGCAGTTTTATAGCTTCCTCATAATTACTCTCAGTGAGAGCTAGGTTATTTATGACCTTTTTAGCCTCTCCTTTGAGAAGACTAAGCAGGTATGAGAATTTAGAAATCTTGTCAAGAGACGATTTCCTATGTATATAAACTTCAAATGAAGTCCAAAAGTTGTCCCAATTTTCTGTATCCAGCCCTGTAAATGTAGGTAAGTCTAAAGTAGGTAAACGAACCTCAGGTAATTGGTTACTGGATTGAGACATAGCATTATTTGTATTAGATTTAGATTGTGTTACTAGATTGGATAGCATGTAAAGTCTATCTTGAGTCTCATCTTCATACTGGGAAATATCTGCAATAATTCGATCCATCTCATCAGGATCAGTTTCTATGGTATTCAGTAGGTCAAGATAAGACTGACTTGTAGATTTAACTTGATTAAATTTCAGATCAGACACTCTCACTGACGTTTCTAATTGATAAGAATCAATGGGAGTTGCTTTAGATAAGTCCTCAGACTTGTTAATTAGTCTGGTCAAATAACCTTTGAAGCCAATATAGTTTCTCCTTAATTGTTCAGGAGTAGCCATGATGGGTTTAAGTCCAAGCTTCATGGGATCTAAATAAGTATTACTAATGAAGCTTGGGTACTTGTTCATTGGTTGACAAGTAATATTAAATATAGCCTAATTTAATGTGGCTAAATTATACTCTACCTCACTCGAGGTTAAATGTACCTACCTAACAACAAGTAGCTAGTTATTTTGAGCACTGCTTGAACTTCACCATTAACTTTCGTCCGGTTAGCTCTTCTATATCACCATTAGATGTAATGGTGATCATTCAGCAGTACTCAAAATAGATACACACAAAATAATGAGTACAAGATGAAATAATATGGATATACTCTAATCAGAGTTATCTCAAAGTTTAATCCCACCCTTGATAGGGTCAGCACAAAGGGTATAATACATATACTACTAACTAGCTCAAGTCTAGTTGTGATAATTTCTACCTAAGAAACTACAAATTTATTTAGTCTGTGTTTGTGCCAAATTCAGCACAATCACAGCCTAAATTTCTACCTAATAAGATTGGTAAAGATTATTGTGGTGCAGTAATGTGAATATAGTTGTGCTGTATTTTTGTTTTTTTTGGATTTTATAGTTTATAAGTGTGCACTTGCACACACAAGTGAAAACAATTATGTACAGTTAAATTTGGCTTGCTAGCCACAGCCGTCTGTGATAATTGATTGTGTTGATCAATTTGTCAACTACATGTGACCTAGACTCACCTGACAGGTGTACACCATCTCTTGCCAGGTTTTGTCTATATGGTCTGGCTGTAAATTGGATATAAGTGGCATCCAATCTCACTCGTTTTTTCAGCCTGAAGTTTATGTATTTGGCAGCTCTCTGGTAATATTCTGGTGTTACTCCCCAACGATTATCATGACTCAGTTGGCGAGGTTCCACTAAGGTGAATACTACCGAATTGCTGATGAGCTTAAATGAAGAAATTATGGTTTTAAGGTGATTGATCACCTCGGCTGGATGACGAGTAGGATGGATGTCATTACCACCTAAGTATATAATGGTTAGATGGTGAGGCCACTCTAACGCAGGTGTTAGTGTGGAATTGTTATAAAAGTTATGAGCTGTTGCTCCTGGTGACCTAAAGATTCTTACTTCAGTATGAGGTATAGGTCTAAGTGTTGTGGGTAATTGACTGTGTCCCACGAGTGCTACCTTATACATGAGGTGTAAGTAGCAATGACTTGGTGTGACTTAGGCTAACCTATGTGTTACGCTGCCGGTAGACACAATTAATTAAAATGGTTAGTCTAGACTACTTCACACGGTGATTAGTTATTACTAATTAGTATGTATATTTATATTTTATGTTTATCCAGTTCGATAAGGACCATAATGTGGGACATTTGGGGCTTGACTCTATTTATTTAATTATTAAAGTAATGAAATCAATTACGAAGGACCACCCGCTTTTATAGAAAAGAGGGAAACTAATAAAAAAGTGATCATTAGAAACTCCAGGAACAACCAGTGTCTATGGCTAAATATTAGGAAGTATAATCACTTAAATAATTAATGGGCTGTATAGATAATTAACTTGAATCAAAGCCTCAAACACCTACATTGGGGGGTTATTGCTAGAACTTCATATACGACTAGGAACTAGTGTGGTTCGTGCACCAGTTCATTGTGTAATAACTAATCTTATGACCAAATTAAAGAAATCTATAGAAGATTATCACCAGTAATTATAAAGATCATTAGCATCAGAAATTAATCATTCTAATAAACACGGATTATCTCCAGTGTACATGATCAGTATCCAATTGGACAATATGATATAGAAATAATGAATTTTAGAAAAAATGAGCGAGTACAAAAAGTCTTAGCTTTAAGACGATTTCAATGACATCAGTCACGACTCATCCTCGGGATCTCCGGAATTCCTCGTAGAAACACTTGGAGGTGAATAACACGGAGTAAGGTAACAGCTCGTTGACTCCTCACATGCGAGCTGTAATTTAAGGGATATTGCGTAGCATTGAACTAGGCTACTCAAATATTTATATTCATGAAAATGGAAAACAATTTTGTTATGATACTAACATGGGATTTGTTATGGTTGCTCGATCTAACGACAAGCTGCCCCGACATATACAATCTGTAATGATGCATCAAAAGGGAGTTATATACTTAGCTAAGGGTACAGATTATGTTGAAGCTTGCCGAAACCGCGTCTCAAGCTCACTCAATGTCATACACGTGGTTGATAGCTTGGCTTGAATGTCGACGCGTTATTAGTGGCCGGTCACTGCAGATCACGTAGAATAGTATTAACTCATTCTATGTTGAGTACCAGGGTAATTCTTGCTGACGATCTCAACTTCCTGTATCTCAGACTCTGACACCACGACCTTGTTGCTCAATTCCGCAACATGAGACTTCCATGCCACGCTCTGGCGTCTCGTCCACAACAAACAATGGCTCTCCTCCCTCACCCACTAGCGTCCCGCATTCGCCACAGAAATTATTTATCACGAATAATATTATTTTGCGTAATTGTGGCTGAAATGCTTTAATAAAGACTGGGTTGTAATTCTAGGGAGTTAAATATTATTACTTTCTCGTCTTATGGTAGTAAACAAGAAATGGAGAAGATTTTAGTTTTCTCCATGGCATTCACGCGTGACGGTAAAATTATTACTTGATAACAATTGTAACTAAAAACTCTCGATTTGGAATTATTTGGGAGTTATGTTATCCGTAAATAATTATCACACGGAATACTGATGATTTTAGAGAATCACATTCAATTCTCTAACACACTGGATATAAATGTGTTTAACTAGGTATAATCTGACGCAATGCTGGTGCTTGGTTTCGTAAGAATTCTAGCATCCTTATACAGATATGATAGTTAGTTCATGTGAACATCACTGTTAGTAAACTTTAATAACTACAGTAATTAGTATATTTTAATACTACAGTAATTAGTATATTGTGCTTGCTCCAATACTAGTTCTATGGCACTGTATATCTTTTGCAGATACAAGGATCTTCAGTATAAAGGACACGGCAAACCTCCAATCAGTGTAGATCAGGTTTTCTAGTGTTGGAAATTTCCAACATGGAAAAAATGAAAATATAAAAACGGAAACCATGTACAAAACTCAGGCAAATCATAACATAGAACGAAAAGGCAATGTAAAGGATCTGGGTGTACTCATGTCGGAAGTCCTAACCTTTAAAGAACACAATAAAGTAGCCGTCACAACTGCAAGAAAAATGACAGGTTGGATAACAAGAAATTTCACACTAGAGATGCTATACTGATGATGATACTTTTCAAAACGCTTGTGCTCGCTAGAGTGGAGTACTGCTGCACAATGACAGCACCTTTCAAAGCTGGAGAAATTGCTGACCTGGAGAGCGTGCAGAGATCCTTTACTGCTAGAATCAACTCAGTAAAACATCTAAACTATTGGGACCGACTAAAGAGCCTAAATCTGTACTCCCATGAGCGCAGGCGGGAGAGATACATAATAATTTACACGTGGAAAATATTAGAGGGGCTGGTCCCAAACCTGCACACAGAAATAACATCACATGAGACCAGAAGACATGACAGGATGTGCAGAATACCCCCGTTGAAAAGCAGAGGTGCAACAGGTACTCTGAGAGAGAACTCTGCCAACATCAGAGGCCCGAGACTGTTCAACACGCTTCCGCTACACATAAGGGGCATAACTGGCAAACCCCTCACAGTGTTCAAGAGAAAACTGGATAAACACCTCCAAAGGATACCTGATGAACCAGGCTGTGACTCATACGTCAGGCTGCGAGCAGCCGAGTCCAACAGCCTGGTTGATCAGTCCAGCAACCAAGAGGCCTGATCGACGACCGGGCCGCGGGGACGCTAAGCCCCGGAAGCACCTCAAGGTAACCGTCCTACCCAGCGTCCTTGTCCTCATATCCAAACTTATTTTCCTAATATCTCATACAATTTCTATACTGTCATATTTGCTTAGCGGTTTCTCACCTCATTTGGTGCTGGAAATCTATATGTCCGGCGCAGACTCAAATAATTAACTTACTCTTCAATCAAAAACTACTGCACAATGACTCGTTAATTATCTTACCTGGGTATATTGAAGTATCATCATCCTCTGGCGTAATGTCGGTCGTGGGAGTGAAGGAGTAGGTGGCAGGAGTAACAGTGGAATCGGAAGAGGTCTCAGGGGTGGTCAAGCTAGTGGAATTTGAGGAAGTAAAAGTGTTTGAGTCACCTAAGGAGATTGAGGAAGAGTCTGTGGGTTTTGTGTCTGTGTCACTACTAGGAGACGATGTGGTGTCGGGAGAAAATGAGCTCGTTTCTGTGGCATATGGGTCAGTGGAGGTAAAAAGTTCACTAGACTCGGTAGGAAAGTCAGTAGAGGCAGTAGTCAATTCTATCGAGGTGGTAGCGACATCTAAGCAAGTGCTTAAATCACTGAAAATAAGAGATACCATCGTTTATTACTATTCCAGGACACTTTTTCTGCGGTATTAAAAGTACAAAGATTACAGAGTCATGCTATTAGTCAAATTAACACACGCTAAGTGTTCCTTATTTCTAACTTAATACAATTATTTGAAAATATTTCAATTTACTACAATCTTGACAACTTTTTTTTTTTTTAGTTTTGCATAGCTAAAGTTCACAAATTATTGGCAAACAATTTCCCTCCATCGAGGAAAAATATTTTTTTATTTATATAACAGCTCTAAGTATATAAAACAACTTACCAAACTCACATACGATAATATAGCAATGACGTTTCGGTCCATATTGGTCCCATATCAACGACAGAACGAATCGAAACGTTTTCACTTTAATTATATTACATTTCATACACACAATCATAATAACGTGATATATCAAATGAACAAATCCACAAGGGCACTGATGAGGGCTCGAACCTATGGGCTGGATGTTCCCAGAAGCGCTCTTTCTACCATGTATCACGACATGGTAAAAGAATTGCAACCTGGAGTGCTACTGCTCCCACGAGGATCCCGAGGCTTCCACTGAAGTCTAACCGGGTTTCACACAATTCTCCATGGGTTAGGCTTGAGTGGAAGCCTCGGGATCCTCGTGGGTGCAATTGTACTCCAGGTTGGAAATCTTTTTACCATGTCGTGGCACAGTTGACTAGAGCGCGTCTGGAAACATCTAGCACATGGGTTCGAACTCTCATCAAGGCCTTTGTGAATTTGTTCAATACATTTAATAATAATTTCCGTTGAATAGGGGACAGGAAGCCAGTACCAAGGCCTGTATCTAGGTCATTGCAAAGTCGAACCGCTGACCGTCTCTCCCAATGATACAACCACAGAACAGTCGTCTTACTCCCGATTACCTATTTTCTGCTAGGTGAACAGGTGCATTACGTTAAATGAAACAAGGCCAACCATTTCTCTCCTGCCCAGGGACCGAACCTGGGATCTTAGATCGTAAGTCGAGAACGTTATTAGTTTTAGCCACATTATTATGACATCTTCTCTACATATGGAACAGTTCACCATGATATAATTCACAGTTGTGCCGTGTATTATATTTGGAAATAGTTATGACGAAGTTCCTCATATCCGCGACTATTGTTACTTCGCTTTAAACTCCACAACAGCATAGCAAATCTTCAGCTGTTGCTGTTTGAGTTCCTTTATTTCTCTTTCTATGTTAATTAGTTCTTAGTTTTGTCTCAATGCCTTAACTGCTGTTTGTTGGTCGTGTTTGCCACCTTAAGCGATGAAACATACTAATTGTTCATGTAATAATAGCTGCCAAACTGGTCTGTTTAACGTTATAATTACTATTAACTAGTCATTTTCACATTCTAACTGCTGCCAGTTGGTCTTATTTAATTTCCAAATTATTGTAAAATACATAAATCTCACACCAAACAGTTGCCAATAGGTTATGTCTAACTATAACTACAGTACAATACATACACATATAAACTCTCTCTCACTCTAAATCCCATTAGCACCATGTAGTAACCTCACCTGCGTACCCAGCTGCCGTTCTCAGAACAAGTCCAGGTGACATAACCGGAAGCAGGGCAGGGTAGCCGGGTTGTATTGCCCACCACACCAGAGGGCAGACTGTGTTGACCTCCCTGTAGTCCGGACCTGTCGACGTAGTCCGTTGTCCCAGCAGGACATCTCACACAGTGATAGGGACACCTCGAACACTCTGCCAGCTTATCTGCCCAGGTGGAAAGACACGGGAATTATTAAATAAAAGAGAAACGTGACACAAGTGTCAGGATTAATGGATGCGAGATCCGCCTCATAATACTGATCTTTATATATCATGTATTCTACACTTGGGAAGGAATCTTTAGGGAAAAGAAGTATTCTTGTCTCACTGTCAATGAGTGCTGCAACGGCGGAACATCCCCGGAGCGAGGCCTCCTGAGCGGCAGTCCTTCCTGTCGGAACATGATTAGAATTGTAAGTGTTACGTGAACTCTGGTGCTGGACACATTGATGCACGGGACACACAAAGATACATAACTTGACACATTCATCCCTTTAAAAACACCACACTTCGTCAACCCGTCCTCTCAATAACACGTTGCACTTTGACGTATATTTTACCATAAGCCAAAACCTGTCGTAGTAGAAAATGGTAGCGGCTCGTGAAATTCACATACCATCCCATTTTCTTTTTCTGGGATCTCAGGTAGATTAGGATAAGTCATAGTACGACAGTCTCTTGACGTTAGAACGCTCGCGAGAACGGGCTGCATAACAATACAAACACTCTGCAGTTGACTGTATTAAGATGTTCTCACTTAGTTATGATTGCGGGGGTCGAGCTTCGGCTCCTTGGTCCTGACTCGCAGCCGTCAATCTACTGGTCTACAGATTACTGAGCTTCTCGTGCTCCGTCATATAACATTTTAAACTGTGTATAGAGTCAGTCTCCACTACATCACTTCCTAGTGCATTCCATTTACTAACTACTCTGACACTAATAAAGTTATTTCTAATGTCTCTGTGGCTCATTTGGGTACTAAGCGTCTACCTGCGCCCCCTTGAGCGTGTACCATCCGTGTTAAATAATCCCTCCTTGTCTACCCGGTCAATTCCACTGAGGATTTTGTATGTGGTGGTCATATATCTCCCGAGCTCTTCTGTCTTCCAGCAACATGAGGTGCCGTTCACGCAGCCTTTACACGTAACTCATGATTCAGTTCTGGGACTAGCCTAGTGGCATACCTCTGAACTTTTTCCAGCTTCGTCTTGTGCTTGACGGGGTACGGTCTCAATGCAAGGGCCGCATTACATAAGTGGTCTTACATATGTGGTGAACAATGTTCTGAAAAATTCCTTACACAGGTTTCTGAAGTCAGCTGTGATGTTATCCAGCCTCTCATAGGCCGCTGATGTTATTCTTTTGATATGGGGTTCAGGAGACCAGTTTGGCGTGATATCGACTCCTACATCTTTCTCTCTCTCCGTTTCATGAAGTACTTCATTTCCCTTTCGGTATCCTGTGTCTCTCCTCCTGGTTCCACCGCCTAGCTTCATGACCTTGCATTTAATTGGGTTTAACTTTAGTAGCCATTTGTTGGAGCGCTCATTCAGTCTGTCTAGGTCATCTTGTAGCCTCCTACTATCATCCTCTCTTCTAATCCTACTCCTAATTTTTGCATCATCAGCAAACAATGAGCGGAATGATTCTATACCCACTGTGAGATCATTTACATATATAAAAAAACAGTATAGGTCCAAGGACTGACCCCTGCGGGACTTCACTGGTGACGTTTCGCTAATCTGAGGCCTCACCCCTCACAGTGACTTCCTGTCTTCTGTTGCTTAGGTACTCCCTTATCCAATGGAGTACCTTCCCTTTCACTCCTGCCTGCATCTCCAGCTTTTTCACTAGCCTCTTGTTTGGTACTGTTTCCCGGTTTGGTGCCTTCTTTTTGATAATTACTTACTTGTTTGGTACTGCGTCAAAGTCTTTCTGGCATTCCAAAAATATGCAGTCTTCCCACCGTTCTCTTTCTTGCCTGATTTTGGTTGCCTGGTCGTAGAATTCAATTAATCCTGTGAGGCAGGACTTGCCATCCCTGAACCCATGTTGATGCTGTGTTACAGTTCTTTCACTCCAGATGTTCCACTAGTTTTTTTTCGCTCAATCTTCTCCATCAGTTTGCATTTTATGCAAGTTAGGGACACTTTCCATTAGTTCAGTGCCTCATGTCTATCCCCCTTCTTGTATTTTGGGACAATATTAGCCGCTTTTCAAATTTGTGGTAGTTCCCCTGTTACCAGTAATTTGTTATACACTATGGAGAGTGGCAGGCACAGTGTTTCTGCTCCATCCCATAGTATCCAATGGGAGATTCCACCCGGGCCTATAGCCTTTGTCACTACTCTAGCAAAAGCTTCCTTACATCACAACTTGTTATCTCAAACTCTTCTCGTGATTCCTGGTTAACAATTCCCTCTCTTATCTTAGGAACTTCTCCTTGCTCTAATGTCAGTAACTCCTGGAATTTCTCATTCAGTTCCTCATACACTTCCTTGTCATTTGTAGTGAATCTGTCTGTCCCTATCCTCCATTTCATTACTATTACTCTTTCGGCCCGATTCTCAACTGTCTATCAATGAACTGTTTCTAACTACTAATTAACAGTTTTCTTTATTTTTTTTTCACACACACAGACACACACACACACACACACACACACACACACACACACACACACACACACACACACACACACACACACACACACACACACACGCACTAGGTCGACTAGGTCTTCTTGTAGCCTCCTACCATCATCCTCTGTTTCAATCCTCCTCATAATTTTTGCATCATCAGTGTGTGTACTCACCTAGTTGTACTCACCTAGTTGTGTCTGCAGGATCGAGCATTGACTCTTGGATCCCGCCTTTCGAGCATCGGTTGTTTACAGCAATGACTCCTGTCCCATTTCCCTATCATACCTGGTTTTAAAATTATGAATAGTATTTGCTTCCACAACCTGTTCCTGAAGTGCATTCCATTTCCCCACTACTCTCACGCTAAAAGAAAACTTCCTAACATCTCTGTGACTCATCTGAGTTTCAAGCTTCCATCCATGTCCTCTCGTTCTGTTACTATTCCGTGTGAACATTTCGTCTATGTCCACTCTGTCAATCCCTCTGAGTATCTTATACGTTCCTATCATGTCCCCCCCTCTCCCTTCTTCTTTCTAGTGTCGTAAGGCACAGTTCCCTCAGGCGCTCCTCATACCCCATCCCTCGTAGCTCTGGGACGAGTCTCGTTGCAAACCTCTGAACCTTTTCCAGTTTCATTATATGCTTCTTCAGATGGGGACTCCATGATGAGGCGGCATACTCTAAGACTGGCCTTACGTAGGCAGTGTAAAGCGCCCTAAATGCCTCCTTACTTAGGTTTCTGAATGATGTTCTAACTTTTGCCAGTGTAGAGTACGCTGCTGTCGTTATCCTATTAATATGTGCCTCAGGAGATAGATTAGGTGTTACGTCCACCCCCAGGTCTCTTTCACGCGACGTTACAGGTAGGCTGTTCCCCTTCATTGTGTACTGTCCCTTTGGTCTCCTATCTCCTAGTCCCATTTCCATAACTTTACATTTGCTCGTGTTGAATTCTAGTAGCCATTTCTCTGACCATCTCTGCAATCTGTTCAGGTCCTCTTGGAGGATCCTGCAATCCTCATCTGTCACAACTCTTCTCATCAACTTTGCATCATCCGCAAACATCGACATGTAGGACTCTACGCCTGTAAACATGTCGTTAACATATACAAGAAATAGAATTGGTCCCAGCACCGATCCTTGTGGTACTCCACTTGTTACTGTTCGCCAGTTCGACTTCTCGCCCCTTACCGTAACTCTTTGGCTCCTTCCTGTTAGGTAGTTCCTTATCCATGCTAGGACCTTTCCCCCCACCCCCGCCTGCCTCTCGAGCTTGAACAGCAGTCTCATGTGCGGTACTGTATCAAAGGCTTTTTGGCAGTCCAGAAATATGCAGTCTGCCCAACCATCTCTGTCCTTTCTTATCCTCGTTATTTTATCATAGAATTCCAGAAGGTTTGTTAGGCACGATTTCCCTGTCCAGAACCCATGTTGATGTTTGTTCACAAACCTAATGTTCTCCAGGTGTGCAACCAGTCGTAGCCTAATTATTCTTTCCAGTATTTTACAGGGGATGCTTGTCAGTGATACAGGTCTATAATTAAGTGCCTCCTCCCTATCGCCTTTCTTGAAGATCGGCACAACATTTGCCTTCTTCCAGCAACTGGGCAATTCTCCTGACATAAGTGACTCATTAAAGATCATTGCCAGAGGCACGCTGAGGGCCTGTGCTGCTTCTTTTAGTATCCACGGTGATACTTTGTCTGGTCCAACTGCTTTAGTTGCATCTAGAGTTGTCAACTGTTTCATTACCTCCTCTGCTGTCACCTCTATATCTGATAGTCTTTCTTCTAGGGTAACCCCTTCCAACAATGGGAGCTGCTCAGGCTCGGTAGTGAACACTCCATGGAAACTGGCATTCAGTGCCTCGCAGATTTCCTTGTCACTTTCAGTATATGCCCCCTCTGTCTTCCTTAGTCTTGTCACTTGGTCGTTCACCGACATTTTTCTTCTTATATGACTGTGTAGTAACTTAGGTTGTTTTTTCGCTTTGATTGCAATATCGTTCTCATAGTCCCTTTCCGATGTTCGTCTTATGTTAATGTAATCGTTCCTAGCTCTGTTGTATCTGCTTCTGTTGTCCTCTGTTTTTTGTCTTCTGTACTTCCTCCACTCCCGCCTGCTGGCCCTTTTTGCTTCCTGACACTGTCTATTAAACCATGGGTTATTATATTCCTTCTTATTTTTTCCCTTTACCGTTGGTATAAATCTCTCTTCGGCCTCCTGGCATTTCTGTATGACTAGGTCCATCATATCTTGGACTGTTTTTCCTCTAATTTCTTCCTCCCACTGCACTTCATCCAGATAGTCCCTTATCCTCATATAGTCCCCTTTCCTGTAGTCAGCTCTCCTTTCCCAGATCTCTTGTCCCATGGTCATAAGTTTGAATTCCATCATGTAGTCAAAGACTAGGACACAATGGTCACTGGCCCCTAGAGGTATTTCATGCTCTAAATTCTCGATATCTTCTACGTTCTGGGTGAAAATCAGGTCTAATAGGCTCGGTGCATCTCCTCCTCTTTCCCTTGTGTCTTCCTTCACATGTTGTGTCAGGAAATTCCTGTCTATAACATCTACTAATTTTGCTCCCCACGTTTCGTCCCCTCCATGGGGATTCCTTGATTCCCAATTTATCTCTCCATGATTTAGGTCCCCCATGATCCGCAGCTTCGCTCTCATTCTGTGGGCTAGTGTTGCTGCCTTCTGCAGTTCATCTATACATGCTTTGTTGTTGTCATCATACTCCTGC